ACGCAGTTAACATTTAAGTTGTCTGAAAAAAGGAGGTAAGGGGTCGCAAGCCGGTGTCAGTGTCTGACTTTAACCTCCAAACATAAAACAGCAACACATATTTGAAAAAACACACCATTATTTGCTTCCGACTATTCGAAATATGCATTCTTATTAAAAGTGTGTCCCGCTCCAGTCAGTGATCTCGATAATTTTTAGCAGATTATTCCTTAATCCCGTCATAAAATGTAAAATGGCGTGGAATGGATGTTAAATGAGCCGTATACACGAATCTAGGTAGTCGACACGGTTCTTTAGTTGTTCAATACCTAGCTGTAGACACACGTACCTCGTCAACCCAGGTTGTGTTCTCATGGATTGAACTGATCCTGTGGAAAAAAACCCATGCAAATTCCATCGACTTTACTCCATGCACCAGCGAAGACAGTAAAATATTCATGCTTCAATATCGATTTAGCTCGTGTTTCATGTTTCTAAAACACGTGGAACGAGTTAAAGTTTCACAGAATCACTTTAGCTCAAACCGAACTCACTGAAGCGTATCTAAAGAATGAATACTTGGATTAACCCCAAACCAATCAAATCGATCACCCCATCCATCAACATTGAATAAACTGTTTGATATCAAACAATCTAAAAGTCTTTATATAAAGATGACGTGAAACATTCGTTACATTTATTTGACGTATCAAACGTAAAAAAGACTTGGTTAGTCATAATGCGATCTAAGCCACAAGGGGTTAACTCCTAATTAATTGTGTCTGTACGTTGATGAACAAGTCACGTCATGTTACGGTTATATTGATCAGGTACGGAAATGTATAAGTACCTTAGTGTGCGCATAACTTCTGTTTGTGCTTATAGAGAAGCAGTAAGCACGTCTCCGTGTTAGCCACATACTGTATAAGGCACAGTTGTATACTGGCGTATGTGTGAATATACCGTGGGCCCGTCAACAGGGCAATGGATGATTTACCAGAAACTTTAAGGTATAGCTGTGTACTTTGTATTTTGTATATGGTTCATACGGGTATACTTACTTTATGATATTCATGTAGTTTATGTATCATAATATATGTATTCAAGTATCTATATTGTCAGAGGATTGGACATGACCCCTTCTCTGTTTGTCCGAGGCAAGTGAAAATCTGTTAGGGTCAGTAGTTAACGTTCCATAATTTCAATGAAATAAGTTTGGGTCTGGTTTTAGTTAACTCGCTGTTATTCCTCATATCAATATTCTTAATAAGTAATACCTTTGTTTCTTACTAATATCAGTTGTTAGCTATGTCGTTCTTATATATAGAGAGAGAGCGACAGTGGGGTATCCGAAGGCCTGAGTTCGATTCCGCACATGGGTATATGGGAAAAGCCCATTTCTTGTGTGTTTGCTGGAATATCGTTAAAATGGGCGTAAAACCATACTCACTCACTCCCTCTTATATATATATTTACTAAAAATATCTGATGAGCTATCATTGAAACGGATTTGTATACTAGTATTTCTGATATATCTAAATCCACATCGATAGATATATCTATAAACATAGTCGGATATAAAGATTCAAATAATACAACAAAGACCTTTATATCCCTTTGTAATTAGTTTATTAATGGTATTTTTCAGAATATATAACTCCAAAGGAGAAAATAATGTTGAACGTTAAGACCAACCTTAAAAAAGCGTGTTATTTGAATACTTTGTTTCGATCTGCAGAATTTACGAATAGGAAAGAAAACCAAACGTATGTCTCACCGTTTCCATTAAAGCTGTATGACCAAGGTCAACAGAGGTCCTCATTGGACTGCGAGAGTAAGAAAGACAAGGACATGATTACGTAACCTCATTATATTGAGTGTGTGTGTGTGTGTGTGTGTGTGTGTGTGTGTGTGTGTGTGTGTGTCATCAACACACCTCAACGCACTCCGACGTTTTAATATTTTCTTTTGATATTTACATGTAAACCTTGATTTTTTTGTGTTACTTCTACAACGTAGAAGACGCTCGAGACGCTGTCCTAAAGAAATAATAACTGAATGTTAGGTTTCAATTATATCCCTGTCTCCATGGACGCATCTGATTACTCTGTTCAAATTAGTTAACGAAGAAAAGGCCATTATCATCGCCTCAGTGGTTTTGTATTCATGTCTGCACTCCATGCTCAGACTGTTAATCCGAAGTATGAAACACCTCACCGTGTTACTGTGTAGCTCTGACAACCAGGACGTCGGTTTATATTGACATAGCAAACCAATGTTCTATGTCAGCGTTGATTCAGCGTGTGTCATACCTGTTGTACATTTCACCTTGATTACAGGTAAACAGACAAGAGTCCCCCAAATTCAAACACTGAACGCGGAGGACGGTTGAAGCTCGGTTGAATCTTTAATGAGAGTGTTTGAGACTGGCAAAAATGTCGTTTGATAGTTCTCGTAGGGATTAGTTGATGGGTTTTTTCTTTTTTGTTCCCCGAAATAAAAGATTAAATTAATTGTTGAAAGAGGTTCGGTCTCTTGACCTCAACGCGATGTACCTTTATAAGTTATGGCTGCTATGACACTTATAATGATGACAATACTGCTGGTCATTGATGTTTTTTATGGTAATTATGACGATACTTACCAAAAGAATTATCATGATAATTTTAATGTTCATGGTATTAATATTAACAATGATGACCAAAATTATAACTACTTTAACAAATGTCACCCTTCCCCTATAACCCCCACCCTCACCCCTCTGCTCACCCCCTTCCCCTATAACCCCCACCCTCACCCCTCTGCTCACCCCCTTCCCCTATAACCCCCACCCTTACCCCTCTGTTCACCCCACTTCCCCTATAACCCCCATCCTGACCCTCTGCTCACCCCAGTTCCCCTATAACCCCCACCCTCACCCCCTGCTCACCCCCATCCCCTATAACCCCCATTCTCACCCCTCTGCTCACCCCCATCCCCTATAACCCCCTTCCCTTCAAACCAACAGTCTTGATAAGTAAAACATGTGGTTTATCTATCAAGGTCCGCGAAGAACCAACGGACGGGAGCAACAGGCAGCCTCGCATGTCAGCTTATCTGGAATGCCGTCATCAAGGAATTCCAAACTTTTGGTCCTGTTTCGACCCCGTCTTGCTATCCAAATCGTCCGTCAACAGAATGAAAATATATATGAAGCTTTCAAATAAACGAAACAGTCACAATAAATAAATATCAGCATTCTTTACGTATTTTATATACGCCTTTCGACCTCTGATCACTCGTGGTCAAATGTTTGTTATACTAATATTTTCTTTCAAAACACGCCATGGTGTATGACTAACAAATTGATTTCAATTAGGTGAAAGCAGTCATGTTTCTTGTATTGCAGTGTACATCTGTCTGTACTCGGCTAGACACCCGTAGACCCGATGCGTGTCCTTATGTAACTTGATTAACGCATGGCAAGAAGTGGTATATGTTTGTATTGACTTTTCCCATGCACATGATTTAGGGGGACTTTTTGTCCTCGCGGTTTCTAAAGTGGAGATGTGTGCACATGTTTCTTAACACCTTCACATGACTGGGTAAAGTTCATTATCGATTGGATAAACAGTTTGAGCACTTTGAGATGGCTCGAATCGTGCCCGAGGATTTACATTGGGATAAAAACTATCTTATTTTGTAAGAACCCACTCGGAATGAGCTTAGTCGGTAAGATCTATCATGCTATTCCACACAATTGAGCCCATAAACGTGATATACTATAAATGTGATTTTCTTCCACGATAGACGGGGTATTGACATCACTGTTTAAGAATCGTGAAAGAGTGTTACTCCGTTGGTATTTTTTCAAGAAAAAGTCTGTTTGATTATTCTACAATTGCACAAAATTGCACCGAAGGAGCTGTAGATGAAAATAAACGACCTTTGAAACTTGCCCTGTTGACAAAGGAAGTAAGGGTCAGTGTGTCCTAGTGCAGGGTCAGCGTTATTTAGAGACCGGACACAGGGTCCAGGATTAGGTCACGACGTGTTTGACCACCGAGGGATTTATGAATGACCGCCGAGGTTGAAACACTTAAAATACCCTTGTTTCGCTCCCACAACAAACCACAAAGCAAATTGTGAATGAGCCCGGCCGAGTCCCGGCGAACGGTTCTGGACTTCCGATCCTGGTACACTGCGATTCATATGGAGACATCACTCGAGTGCAAATCTCGCGAAATCACGTCCACCTGTCACGGAGTTTACCGCCAGTACTTAACACACGGGCGATAATCTACTACACATCGAAGGGAAATTGGAATGTGGTTGGAAGCCTCTGATTAGCGACTGTGCACATTGGAGTCACACACGGGACTCCAGACACATGGTTGCGTTGTCAAAGGAGAGGATAGTTTAAGGTGTTACTGTATTCAAATGACATTTTTTCATGGCCTTTGCTTGGAATTAACAACTAGAGATTTAATTCATAGGAAACCGCAACCATCAGCTGATTTGGAATAAGGGTCTTGAAACTGAGTCTAAAATATTGCTGATGCCACGTCCATGATTTCAGACAGCAGTTACCAATATGACGTCATTGAACGAATTTGACATGACGTCGACGATGTGTAGATGTTAAAAACATATATGCCAAATCTTAAATAGAGAAAAACGTTTACTTACTATTGGTTCATTTAGTTTTGATTACTATCAGTTAAATCGAATTGTTTTAAAATTAATCACCGTTTAATTGCTAGTAATGAAGAACAAAACATCAATAACACTATAAGCACACAGATAAGTTTAATATATGTAAGTTATCAAAATATAGACAATAAAACTTAACTTTAAAATGTTAATACATTGTGAATTATGTCGAAAATCGGTATGTTATTTGATGCCTTATTCATTAATGCCTGTCTGAATTCAAATATTGTACATGAAAACGGGCATTGAATTGCATAAAATTGTCAAACTGAGTAAAACTATCACAATGGGAATGTTCACATGTATATGATGTTTTTTTCCAATTTCAGGTGCGCTATGGAGAACCGGGGAAGAGTGACTAAAGTCCACGTGGATGAGAGTGAACCTACAGGAGGTATGTTAATATAAAAATGGGTTAATGGTGATGCAAAAAGCAATATGATGAAATATAAAAAACGAATCAGATAGGCGTTTCTCTGCTTACATTTCAAGAGGGACCGCCTCCGTGATCTAGTGGTAGAACGTCCACCCTTAGAGCGGAAGGTCCGGGGTTCGATCAAAAGACTTTAAAATATTGTAGTTTTTATTACCCTGCCTGGTGCTCGGCATTAAGGGGCTAAAACAAGGACCGGTCGGCTCTGAATCAGTATACTGTGTCTGAGTGGGGTATTCATGTTTAGCTTGCGGCATGGTATCTCAGTGAGCTAGCGCTATAAAATCGGCACCAGTCCAGACGTGCTCCTCGTTGGTCATGTCAATCAGTAAGATATTTACATGCTAAACTGAAGGAGAAACAGTCAGAATTTATCTCGTTTGTTAATTGGTCTCGGCGCCACTGATCGACCTTCACAAATCTTCCAAATGTATACAATGAGTCGGAGAGGGTCATTATTTACTCTGCTTTCGCCCCACACTGTCAACCCAAGCCTATAATCGACCATCATTTGAAATTCCAAATAGCGAAACTCTGATGTTTGTGAGAATCTGCGAGAGTTGTGACGTCACAGCGCAAGATGCCTGCTTATATGGACAGGCTGCCATTATCTGATGTGATATGTGTGTTCCACGTCATCAGCGTTGTTGTTTATTCCCGAAACCAGATGGGTCAAGGCTTGTTTAAAGATCATTTGAGCTTTCTTAAGCCTATGGTCAAATGTTGAGAGTGTAAACAGACAGTACTTGTTCTCGACAAGAACTAATTGCATTTCTCTCCCAACCAAATACGACAGCAATGAAAGCCCCGGATAATACCTGAGAAGAGCCGGTTGAATTGTTGTTAATTGTTGTTAATTGTTGTTCAAATAGCCAAGCAAATACAAGAAAGTTGTGGTATTTACTAAGCTGCAACTGTCAAGATAAACGCTTGTAGCCATCGACCGTTCTTTCAGCTGACAATGACCATGAACTTTCAGTGGGATTTGCCAAACAAACAAGATCATCTTCAACGCAATATTTTTGATCATCTCATGAAATTAGATGAAGGGTTCTAATCAAAGTTAACCCCCCGTATTAGCATCGCAATCTCTCACGAAGTGGTTTAAGTTTTATCAGAGACCATATAATAGATTACATGGTCTCTGGTTTTATCATTAATAGAAGGACAAAAAGTTTACTTTAAGACAATGCTGTTTGATTTCACTCGGCTGACCTCATGCCTAAGCACACAAGGGATGCGTCACATCGTTGATTCACAAACTTATAACACTTTGAAGCTTAGAATCCGACTTTGAAGCTTAAAACGTGACTTGGAATGTCGGCTTCGTATGCTTATGAAAGTGGAATGTGTTAATGAGAAGGTTTTGCAAACAAACAGCAGTAATGAATAAAGGTGATTTTTTTTAATGAAGCAGACGGAAAGTAGCGATGCATCTCCCCTGATTAATCAAGTTGAAATCCTGACTTTTTGATAGCAGGTGTTTCGATATCGCGGACATTAGTGCTGTTGGCTGCTTATGCATCTGGAATATGGACAAAAAATGCGGTTTTTTCTTTTCAGGTGACGAATTTCCGTTTGAGGTGAAAGAAGTTCAGATCAGGAAAGACAAATGGGTTACTGATGAATATCACATCGACATGCTGTTAGGAAAGTAAGTACAACTTATATAACACCCTGTTAAATATCAACGAATATTACCCATTAAATATCGGCCATGGGTAGAATAATCAGGTTTAGTATCTTTCCGATATCTGCCCATCTGTATTTTTTGTGATTTTCGCATAGCCTAGTATTCAGTCGAAGTGATAGGACGTCACATTGCTTCATTGCTGAGAACCTATGAATACCTATGACGTCATCCATTGTTCATGACGTCACACGTTGATTGAATTCCGTCATCTAAACAATAGACAGTGAATTTCCCCGTCGGATTCATATTTCATGCGTTTTCGTGCGTATTTCATGCGTTCTTTCACGTAATTACATTATGTGATACAAAGAAGAACCTACAAGTTACGAGGAAATACGGATTTTTAGCCCTCGCCTTTGAATGATGTTGGTCACTTGTCCGGGACTTACACCATTCGTTCACCCATGAACATCCGAGTGTCGTAAGAGGCGACCTTTCTTGCCGTATAAGGCGACTAACGGGATCAGGTGGTCAGGCTTGCTGACTTAGTTTGTGCATGTCATCGTATCCCAATTGTTTTGATCGATGCTCATGATATCAATCACTAGGTTGTCTGGCCCAGATTCGATTTTTTTACAGATCTCCGTCATATAGCTGGAATATTGCTGAGTGCGGTGTTAAACAACAACAATCAAACCATTCGTTCACTAGGGTCAAATAAACCGTACTTGGCCGTAGCACGTAGCGATTATCTAGGTATTGCTGTATGATGCAACATTCATTCTGTACGCGAAAGAAGGTTCACAAGAACATTAAATTGCGTACATTAAATAAACGTTTGTGGTTGCTATAACAACAGAGATATGGGTGTCTAATGGGACAAACGCTTTTTACCATTCGGGAGTTATATGTTTTCAGAAGATACTAATCGCGGATCATAATACCATGCTGTGTTTGAGGTTTTGACCTGCAATTTTCAATTTGAACAAGGCGACTTGCCAGACTGATTGTCTGGTCGAGATTTACCCATTGGAGTCGTGTTTTCCAGCATCTTATACATGCCGCTTGATTAAAACACACGGGGCATTCATCCTTGGCTTCTCATATCAGAAGACAGGTCAACGGTGAAGTTGAAAATTTCAGAATGTATGATAAGCAATCAGAATGGCTAGAAAAAGAAAACATGGCGCCAGGGCTGTCCCGTCGAAACACTGAGATCATTCACCACATGGTCTTGTGACCGGAAGTGACGCGTATGCTGCCATCTTGCGTTGTGAACAAATTACTGGCGTGATAGTTATCAGATACATCTTTGGACCATTTGAAGGGCTCTTGGAGCCTTGGATCTAACTTTTTGACATCTGTAAACAAATTGGCACTTCTTTTAACTGCCAGCTGTTTAGATTGAGTTGAAAATAGTCGCCACTGAAAGATATCTTTGAAAGGAATGTGAATGTAGGGATGTGAAGTGTAACTAATTTCGGCAATGTGAAAAGCTTCGGAAATGAATAGTTTATTTGGGGTACTTTTATGAATAACCATACCTTTGTCTCTGATCCATCCTTGTGCTATTTATGTGGAAGTAAACAATTAATGCGAACATGTAAGTCAAATGACGAATGAATAATTAAATAGTTTTTTAAAGAATTTACACAGTGTAGTGAGTGAGTGAGTGAGTATGGTTTTAAGCCGCTTTTAGCAATATTCCAGCAATATCACGGCGGGGGACACCAGAAATGGGCTTCACACATTGTACCCATGTCGGGAATCGAACCCGGGTCTTCGGCGTGACGAGCGAACGCTTTAACCACTAGGCTACCCGACCGCCCCTACACAGTGTAAAAGATATGAATGATGTAGTGTCAATTTATTACAAAGTCAAACAATCAAGACATATCTCAACAGATAAGCTGATGCAAAGCAGTTTTTCTAAACTGAAACAATGGCTTCCTATATTCTTTCATTCGGACCCCAAAATATCCGAACATTATCTGAGGAGATTCAGAAGCAAGGGGGCGGTGGGGTAGTCTAGTGGTGAAAGCGTTCGCTCGTCACCCCGAAGACCCGGGTTCGATTCCCGACATGGGTACAATGTGGGAATCCTATTTCTGGTGTCCCCCGCCGTGATATTGCTGGAATATTGCTAAAAGGGGCGTAAAACCACACTCACTCACTCACTCAAAAGTGAGGTCCAGTTTCAGGACATTCTCTGGTCGCCTTTCTATTATATATTATACGGATTTTATACATCTTAAATTCATTTCCGAGACTAAATGTTAGTCTGGGAAAAATATTATTTATTGTGACAAGGACTAAGGGCGAAACTGTACATTTATTACAGGGGCAAGTTCGGCGAGGTGAAGAAATGCCGTGAGAAACGTTCAGGTCGAATGTTAGCCGCTAAGTTCATCGACATCACCTGCGCCTCCGACAGGAAGGACATCGCCAACGAGGTGGACATTATGAAGTCCCTGCAACATCCCCGCCTACTCCAGCTGTATGCTGCGTTTGAGAACAAGACCTCCTTCTGTCTCGTTCTAGAACTGTAAGTATTGATGACAAAGACAACTCCATGTAAATAAATTGCAAGTGATTCCTTGACATTTGATTGGCTAACCAATCAAATTGCGTTGCGTTTATATCTCCATAAACCTGTTTTTAAGCCACGCCCGCTGGCGGACTACTGTTTCCTATTGGCGGATACTAGAATGGGTGTGGCTTGTGCTGCATTATCACGCTGAACAATGCCACTGATTCATATTGTTAACACTTTCGTGTGTCTTAATGTGTAAATAATCAGTGTGTTATTGTTGTCAGCTTATTTATTATTATTATTATTATTATTATTATTATTATTAAGAATTGACTCCAATACGTGTTTTTGCGTTTATGGTGGTATAAACATAACTCCGCTCCTCGTATTTACATGGTGTACATCCTAGTGTTCACGTTTAAAAATATTGAAATCAAATGATATTTTCACGACACTATTATTATATTATCACCTACATTCGGACGTTTACGTAAATAATGGTCAACGTTTAAGATACGGATCGATTCGGGTTTCCACCACTTGAAGCTTATACGCCGTGATATAACTGAAATACTGTTCAAAGCGGCACTAAACTCACTCACTCACTCACTCACTCATTCGCTCACATTATTTTTCTCCCCACAGCATCAACGGCGGCGAATTGTTTGAGCGCGTCATCAACGACGACTTCATCTTGACGGAGAAGGCCTGTGTCATGTTTCTCCGACAGATCTGCGAAGGGGTCGGCTTCATGCATTCAAAGAACATACTACATCTAGACATGAAGGTAGGGGCAATACCTGTTGTCAAGGCAACGCGATAATGCCAAGGAAAAGATAGGAAAACTATCAAAGTTAAAATACGACCTGACACCGCCATATCTTCCTCTACGGAAGATTTAGGACAGGTATTTATCTTAGAGCCTCGTTATGTAACACACTATATGTTTACGTTAGCGGAGATGAGCTATGACGTAATTTTCCCCTCTTTGGATATCTTCTTATCGCAAGCAGGGACATATTTCTATCACCACTAACGCATGGGTGTAGTATGGCTGGGCGAAGCTCGGGGAAAGTAAAATGTAAGCAAATATGATACAGTATTTGTTTTCTTAAGCCCTTATTACACTTATAAAACACAGACCAGACACAAGCAGGCCCGTTTAATATATCTAAAACAGAGATGTATAACACATATCCCTACCACGTCCTTGATATAACACATTGTAAATGTAGAGCAGTTTGATCATTGTGATCAAACCCAGATATCGTAAAAAACACAACATCGAACACTCATCAAGGACAATTTGACACGGGTAGGCGTGTAATGTAAGTGACTGACTGACTGACTGAGTAAGGTTTTATGCCGCTTTTAGCAATATGTCAGCAATTTCACGGCGGGGGACACCAGAAATGGGCTTCACACATTGTACCCATGTCGGGAATCGAACCCGGGTCTTTGGCGTGACGAGCGAACGCTTTAACCACTAGGCTACCCGACCGCCTGTGTAATGTAAGATCATGTAAGTTTAACAAAGGACTCAAAGAACATACTATAGTACTTATTTTTTTTTTTTTAATTCGATTTGTTTAACCACTTCAAAGTTTAAGCATTTGGTTTTTGTGCAAAGTTATAGTTGCGCTACTGTGTAGGACGTCCTGGGAAATATGTTGCTTCGCAACGTTTAGTTTTACTTTGTGTGAGGCTATCACTTTAAACCGAGACTTGCCGCAATATATATACGTTCCCGAAACGCCATTATCACAAATGGAAATCTTTAGACCGGTGCGCGAGGTTTCCTGTGGGCCCGACGAGCATAATGTTAAACGTTTAGTATTTTCCCTGTCATAAATATCACCCTCACATGTTTAAACCTGTTATCAACGCTCGTCTACCTACAGGCACATACGCGTTGCTAGGCAATGACGTCATACGTGAACGGCGTTACTAGGGATGTGCCTACGAGGTCATGACCTCCAAGGTTATTGTTTCTCGGTTATGATTGGCTGTTGATGAAGATGCTGGATCATACACCTGTTTTTAATGTTGATGTTGTGGAGGAGGATGCTGCCTACCAACATGACGCCCACCTCTGCAAGGCATTGACGTACATAGCAGCTGTTGTGCTCTGTATACACAATTTTTAATCGAAGCGTTATGATTCAAATTTACATGTTATACAGTAGAACACTTATTTAATAAATTTAATGTTCGTTTTACGGCTTTTTACCTATAAAAACAATAATTCTTACGCAGTGAACTGAAAGGGAGGTAACACGAAATAGCTGATAATCCTTTCAAAGTTAATAATAGATTATCAATAATTTTAACATGAAATTATTAAAGTTCAAACAGTATGATCTCGTTCAATATGCATATTTGCACCAAACAAAAAATCTTTTAATTTCTATCTTAATAAAATTTGAGGATCAAATAATTTCTATCAAAATATAAAATGACGATGAAATATCCTTTGTTGAAGTTATCAAGGATATGATATTTATACACAGGACATTTCAAAGCGTATGCTTGATATGGAATGCCGTATCAAAATTTGAGAAAATCTTGAAAATGATATTATGCGATTTGATCAAATAAATAACTGTATACATAGTGTTTATCAATTATCAGTAGCTAAATAAAATCGACAAAAATATTTCCATAAGCATAAGAAATCATAAGATATGTCCAGAGTTGCCTGTTTCCAAGTTTGGTCCTTGGAGAGCACCATGTGAGTCGCTGGCTCCACATGTTGGAATCCAAATGTCAGACGGTCAGTAATTCGTGATTCTGTAGAACACATTACGATCGCGCGTGACTCCCCACCCCAGATGCAACGCGCGGCCCCATGTAGAATGCCCGTGGAATACCACGTCAATGCTACGAAAACATCGTCAGATGTATTCCACGAAGGATTGGATGTTTTCCATGAAGTATTGGCATTCTCCGCTCATCAGAACATCATTTCATAGTCACCGGGCTCCAGGCATAAATGTGAATATGTGATCGGGTGGTCCGAGTAAACATGCTTCGCATAACCTTCAGGATGCTGCAGACAACGATTTGTTTGTTGGAAGATCATCGCTGATTCATTGTAGTGCTCAGTGTATATGTTTTATGACAAGAAGGCAGCCCCATATCAAGGACGTCTCCCTTTGACATTTTGATAGCGTGAAGACGCTTTCGTAGAATTTGGCGTTATCGTTTGCACACTGGGTTTAATGTATGTTGTGATTCCTTTTTGAGATGTGTAAATAACCCGCGTACACCTTCGACATTATCTTTTGGGTCTATTGGCTCGGTTGTATAACGGCATTCTCATATGGTTTAACTGTTTCGCGAGTCTGTCGAGTTTCAAGATTTAAAGCCCCCAAATGATTAGAGAATGCGTTGAATGGTATTGAATTTGTTGCAGGTTGAAACATTTTTTTAAAGACACACATCATACCTTTTTAAATATTCTGTAATTTTACAACCAATGGGGTGACTGTGTGTAATCTGACTAATTGTCTGCCATCGGGACATGACCTCCGTTAATGTTCATGCCATCAACGGCTCGATCCGGCCTCGATTACTTATAGGATTCTATGAAATATCTGTTGTATTAGGACAGTAGCGTCAAACAACATCATACAATAGAGACATTAAGAGTAGTTAAAGAGAATTATTTATCAAGAATATCAGAAAAAGGCTTCAGCCCTGACGAAGGTTTTCTTTGTTTCAGCCCGAGAATATCCTTTGTCTGACGCGAGAGGGAAACAGAATCAAAATCATTGACTTTGGTCTGGCCCGGAAGTTCTGTCCCAAGGAAGATCTCCGGGTGTTGTTTGGAACACCAGAGTTCGTCGCGCCGGAAGTTGTAAATTTCGACCCTATCAACTATGCAACAGATATGTGGAGCATTGGAGTCATATGTTATGTCTTGTAAGTATGCTGTAGTCGACGTCGTTGTAACTTTGGCCTATCCCAATCACATCATTTCTACCTTTGTCCTTCACTCGTGAAAATCAGGGGTAGAATAGGTCTTCAGCAACCCATGCTTGCCGTAAAAGGCGACTATGCTTGTCGTAAGAGACGGCTAAAGGGATCAGGTGGTCAAGCTCGCAGGCTTGGTTTATACATTGCATCGTATCACAATTTTGTGGATCGATGGTCATGGTGTCAATCACTGGATTGTCTGGTTCCGATTATTTACAGACCGCCGTTCTATAGCTGGAATATTGCTGAGTGTGGCGTTAAATAACAAACAAATAAACAAACAAACCTTTTTCCGTCGAACATGGGTCGGTGCTCATGATGTCCACCACTAATTTGTTTTTCCCAGACTCGAGTATTTCCTAGTCTGCAACGTGGCTGGAATATCAACTACGGTGGAAAACAATGTATATTGGCTCTGTTGTGTAACTTGGCAATCTGTGAGCGTGTCTTTTATACAGAGTGTGTGTAATTGCCACTTGATGTGATTCGAATGCATTGTTTTATCGCATTTTTATTCATTTTAGGTTATCGGGGTTATCTCCCTTTATGGGTGACACCGAGGCCGAGACGCTAGTCAACGTCACCACCGCTCAATGGGACTTCAATGCTGAAGAGTTCGACAGTATATCCAAAGAGGCAAAAGACTTCATATCGAAACTTCTTATTAAAGATCGAAGGTAAAAACAATTAATAGCTGACAATGAATATCAGTTATTGGTTATAATTTCCTCGAATGCGTAATGCATCTCCTTGTTAGGGTCAAGCTGATATTCTGAGGCAAATATATCCTGTGCGACATGGATTACTGTTTGTCATGGTACTCATGCTCATGCTCTCATCCACTGGTTTGTCTAACAAGTTGTCACATTGCTGACGACGACGCAAAACGACATTATCAAAGTCAAGCGTGGGATAGGTCAGCCACGTTATAAATCCTCCACTCCCAATAATGTGTCCGCTATTTGTATGTATCCCGTAAAATCTGATAACAGTGATTAATTGAGGAAGTTGCGGTTAAACAGGTCACCGTGGCTACAATCATATACCCTATGGATACCCCATCGGTCATTTGATAACACGATTAGAGTACAGAGATGGAAATCCACACAAGGCCGAAAGCCGTGTCAGGTTATCTAACGTTAAGCGTATCCCGAGGGATATAGTAGGACTTCCGTTTAACTCTTGTGTTGTCACCAAGTTCATTTCTACCTCTGAAGGGCGCACGGGTGGCCCAGTCGTCTAAGGCGCCGCGATTCGCTGTGCAGAGTTGCGTCCCTTGGGCACGCCACAAACAAATGATTGTCGGTTCGAATCCCGGTTCGCCCCGATTATGTTTCTAGGTTTGTCAGCACCATACCCGTGCTCGTGGGTTTCACCGAAGTGGTAAACGTCTGACACCTGCATCACTTCGGGCTTTCCTCTCACATTAAACTGACACGCCGTGATATAACTGGAATACTGTTAAAAGCGGCGTTAAACCCAACTCACTCACTCTACCTCTGAAGGCACGGAACTCATTGTGCAGAGTGGGTTCGAATCCTTCATTCGTCCTGATTGTGGTATCTCTGCACCATACCCGTGGATTTCACCAAAGTAGTAAACCTATATGGCCTTCCTCATTTCGGCATCACTTCGGGCTTTCCTCCCACATGAGGCTGACACGCCGTGATATAACTGGAATACTGTTGAGGCGCCGTAAGGCCAAACTCACTCACTCCACCACTGAAGTAGTGTTCATGTTCATAACAAGGCTGACTACTTGTCATGTAACTATTTAATATGTTTCTTGTTTGCTTCAGAAAACGAATGTCGGCAGCAGAATGTCTTGAGCACCAGTGGCTAAGGGTAAGTGTTCTTACACATGACAAACTTCAGTTCACAAACACTTTGTGTTGCACAAAAGGTGGTACTTGTTGTTACCCTGCCTGGCGCGCGGCATTAACGGGATAGAACAATATTTTGTTTGTTTGTTTGTTGTTTAACGCCGCACTCAGCAATATTCCAGCTATATGACAGCGGTCTGCAAGTAATCCAGTCTGTACTAGACAATCCAGTGATTGACATCATGAGCATTAAGCTGACACGCCGTGATATAACTGGAATACTGTTAAAAGAGGCGTTAAACCAAACTCACTCACTCACTCACTCAATGTGTGTCAATTTACATTGAACAATCTTCCTAGATTCATCCTCGGTTTTCCAGGCAACTAAATCTCTTTTCTGCCAGGATAATCACCAGGTATTGTACCCTGGATGATAAACATATATTCAGTTCATCTCTACAATTATTATGACACTACGGATTTCATTATCATTTTCAAAAATATGTTTTTTATGCGGTTTCTTTTCTTCCACAGAGATCAGTAAAGCGAGAAAGTCATATTCCGGAGAGATCTCTTTCGACGAAGCGTTTGCGCAAGTTCGTGTACAGGCGGAAGTGGCAGAAGGCAATAAACGCCATGTTGGCTCTCAGGAGGATGGGCGTGACACTTACGTAGTCACGTGTATCACTAGGTGAATAATCATTAATACTATTCATTGTTTCATTGTTTGTTGTTTAACGCCGCACTCACGTCAATAAATATTCTCCTTGAAGAGCTCTTTAAATTTAATGACAGTCCGAGACATGGGAGTTTACGACATATCGTTTTAAATGTTGCAATGCGTGCACTGACGCGAGGTCTCAAGGATTCCTGGAGAAAGTAGTTCGGATCAGAAGTCATTCCTGCCGTTATCGATCTGTAATCAATTTTGATTCCGCGGCAGCCTATCGGAATCTCGGAAAATGAAACGCATACTTTGTAAGTTTGTTTGTTTGTTGTTTAACGCCGCACTCAGCAATATTGCAGCTATATGACGGCGGTCTGTAAGTGATCGAGTCTGGACAATCCAGTGATTGACATCATAAGTATCGATCCACACAATTGGGATACGATGACGTGCATCAACCGAGTCGCGCTATGAATGAACGGTCGATGACTACCTTTAAGAGGCGAATTCAAGTTCTCTCTATGACGTAAAGAAGCACAAGATGCAGGAAATTATGTACATGTAAGCGATGAAGCGTTGTATCGGAGTGTTTGTAATTTAGTAAATTGGAAACAAGGTATTATAAAATGAAGTTTGTTCATCTTGTAAAGCACGTGACTCGGTTTTTTTCAGATTGACCTATCAGAACCTGCCACGCATATGCTCAATGATGAGATCTGATTGGATAAGAGGTCCTTCCCATCTTTCCTCTGATGGTGATAAACAGTTAAGCCCCACCGATCTGGGGCGGTTCCAACCCAATATCATCATCGAGAGGGCAGCGTCAGTCTTGGACTCTGACATTTAGAACACTGGTGCTATTAAAGCGCAGAGCATATTGCCAGTTGCAGGAACTCTAACAGCAGACATCTTCATTGCGTGTCATTTGTGTGCCAACGAACATGGATAATATTACATCAATGCCTCGTTACCATGGCAACTTGTGCATGCAATACCACCTGACTATATTGTGGACCAAATCGGTCAACTGTGGAAGCAGTTATCGACAGCAGTTGTGATTATTATAAACTTGTGTGCGGTACCTTTAAACAGTGTGACCCGTAGATACTTGCACGCACATGACGTGACGTCACAGATAACGTGAATTGGTATCAACGATAGAGAGGCTTGGTGGAGAATGATGTGAAAGGTTTTTCGCGTGCAAAAAATTCACGCCCGGTCCAGACTGACAGCATGTCAATGTGCATTTCATTGAGCCGTCTGTGAATAGGGATCCCATTGCAATACCTTCGTCATGTGTGTTGATCCGATTAGAGTCTGGAGTCTACCTATACCATCGATTTCGCCTTTTGTGAAGTAACATCACATGATCTGACGTTTCGAGTGGTTGTACATATTTCAATACCCTCTCCTTAGAACCCATTTCATTGCATCGTATGTATCTAGCTTTCGAGATGTTGTTATTTATTGAGTCGATTTCATCAATCAGGTAGTCATAGCGCTACTGTGGCGACGTATCTTGAAATCGACATGACGCACCTGTTATCTGGAGATTCTCAGAAACATGTCTATTTCATAGCCAAAAAACAAAAGTATCATTCCATAAGACCGAGCGTACACATTTTATATACCTTATAACATTTATGGAAGGGAATTATACAATGATCATCATAATATCATGAGAAATATAAGCGAGTTTTAAGTTTTGGCGGTATGTATGACAAATGTTAAATTAAAAACGATTCGGCCATGTTCGATCACTGGTGTGTAGTCTATACGGGTTCATATTCAGCCATGTTTCCAGATGCGCATGCGCAGTAGCGTAGCCTTCCGTCCACACGACTACAGTTCGACCTTTCTCTTGTAAAAATACTGGTGCTAGCTTGTAGACTTATAAACAGACGAGTCCATTGTGATTAGGGAGGTACGATGTATATTTGCAATAAATGGGGCTATGAGGTTGCATCATTCATAAAGGAATAGCACCCTTTTTTCATACAATAGACTTTCCCGAATCTCAAATGGTCGCGTTTGAAATATAATGCCTTAATTTTCAGACTTTCTCTTTTTGAGTCGTGACTGGAAATGCTTACGTCTTTTGTACAAAATTTTGAAATATCAATAAATGTATAAAAAACATATTTGTTTTGCTATTATATTCGTCATATGGATATTTGCAGTGCCGGGTGGCCCAGTCGTACTAAGGTGCCGCTATGTGCTTTGCAGGGTTGCGTCCCTTGGGCGTACGAGGAAACTGTGGTCATGTTTCTGGGGTTTTCAGCGCAAACATGTGTTCGTGTGTTTCACCCAAATCGTAAACGTCAAAGCCTACACCCCTTCAGGCTTTGCTTCCACATCAAGCTGACACGCATTGATATAACTGTAATAATTTCAAAGCTGCGTTAACCAAACTCACTCGCTCATTATTATAGTTTAAAAGAAAAGATCTGGGTTATTATCCCACACATGATAGAGAAAAGCACGGGGAAATGAAGTTCTTTAAATATAAAAAGAAATATGTTTGTGATGTCACCCCGTCTTGGATTATATGGCGTATATAATATACTTTTTCTACTAAAAGCCTAGGCTAATCTAGATCGAACTAAACCAAGTGTAATATCTTTGATTCCGGCAGAAGAGGAAAGGTTCTTTTGAAAAGAAATACAATTATTTTAAAGAAATGTTTTCATATACTCAGTGTTAGTCTACATTTCATGTCGTTAGTTTAGATACCCGTGAAGATCAGGGGTAAAATAAGTCTTCTGCAACCCATGCGTGCTGTAAAAGGCGGCTATGCTTGTCGAAAGAGGCGACTAACGGGATCGGGTGGTCAGGCTCGCTGACTTGGTTGATGCATGCCATCGATCCCAATTGCGTGGATCGATCGTCATGATATTAATCACTGGGTTGTGTGGTCCAGGGTGCAGCGTTAAACAAACAAACAAAACAAACCAACGTTAGTGTAGATATCAGCAATACAATTCCACGCAAGACGGCCCCGAAATGGCGGACCTCGCATCATCACTGTCGGTACAAACGATTGCGAGAGTTTGGACTCCCAAGCCGGCGGACTCTATTTGGGTCCATGTCTGAGACTACATCGACGTGGACGGGTTCAATGGTGCAAACACGTTCGAATCTGGAATACAGCTCTGGCAACGCGTTTGTTTCTTCTTCAACGTCGTCAGGGAAGACGGCGTGTCCACAGACGCTCAAATGAATATTTTTGCCCAAAATTGCGTCAACCATTGACCGATTTGGTGGACGTAGTGTCATGGTGTAGGGGGCTGCATACCCTACGGACAGAGATCGAACCTTGTACGCGTACGGGGGAATTTAGCAGCTTTCGCTGCAGGGATGTTGTTTTACGACATTCCATTGTTCCCACTTTTGGCCGTCAGAGGGAAACGTTCCAGCAAAATAATGCCAGGCCACATACTGTTCGTGCCACTGTACCTACAGATTGAAAACAATATAGTCCTTCCACGGCCTTCACACCGTCAGATCTTGGCCCCATAGATCATTTGTGGGATGACCTCGATGGAAGGTCCGTGACCCCAGACACTTCAGCAACTGTTACACGCATTGCAGACTTGCATGGACTGTATTGAATATATTTGTTTCAGGGTCAGTGTGATCGCCTAGCATTAAACCAGTACTGTATAAGTACTACTGTCAGAATTGTTCCCAGGTACCATTGGGCGTCAAAGGTAAAATAGCGGTGACAATTCATAAAAATGGATCAGTTATGACACCTACCCGTGAAGATCTGGGTTAGATTGATCTTCAGCAACCGATTCTCGTCTTAAGTTCAGAGGCTAACGGGATGGGGTGATCAGGTTCGCTGACTTGGTTGATGCGTATTGTGTAGACCGATCTTCATGATGTCAATCATGGGTTGTCTGGTCCAGACTCGATTATATACAGGCCGCCGTCATATAGCTGGAACATTGCTGAGTGCGGCGTAAAACAAAAAAACAACAAAACAACTTCACTAGATTATATACAGCCTTTTATGCCAGAAGTATACTGTATTCAATATACAGTGGGTTCATATTGTTTACCTCCCTATTTAACGTAATCCTTCGTCCATATACAGTCAACTGCGGATTTTCTTATCAATGTTAAACGCCGCTTTGGGCAGTTTATAGTGGTGTAAATGTGTGGCAGCTTAATTTGAGGGAGAAGCCCAAAGTAACACAGTTCAGCGAGTTTTACCACTTTGGTTGGTTTGGTTTGGTTTGTTGTTTTACGCCGCACTCAGCAATATGCCAGCTATATGACTGCGGTTTGTAAATAATCGAGTCTTGACCAGACAATCCAGTGATTGATATCATGAGCATCGATCCACCCAATTTGGATCGCTGTCCTGCATCAACCAAGTCAGCGAGCCTGACCACCCGATCCCGTTTGTCGCCTCTTACGACAAGCATAGTCGCATTTTACGGCAAGCATGGGTTGCCGAAGACTTTTCCACTTTGGTGAAACCAGTGTTTTGAGCTGACCAATCAAAGATCAGAACAAGATTGTTGCGTGTGTCCCTCTCTAGACATCCCTGCACATCGAAAGGCGTGGCCGCTGACGTCTGGGCCACTGAACCCCCAACGGACCCTCACAACGAGTTGGTAACTTCCGACGTTCGCTGTTTACATCAAATCCAGTTTTAATTATTCTTTTCAGAGTTAACAGGTTGACAGTTAGACGAGGAGACATTTTTATTTATCAATGAACAACAGTCGAACCTCGTTATCTCGAACTCCGTCATCTCGAATGTGCCGATATCTCGAACCTATTTATCGGTCCCGACCGTCTTTCTCTGTAAATACATAATCAATGTGCCTGCTTATCTCGAATTCGAGATAAAAAAATACATAAAGCTGTCTCGAACCTTGTCCCATCTCGAAGGTGGCATTTGCCACATTAACAGTTTTAAAAGAACAAGACTGCAAGCGTATGTCGCACACGGGCCCGGCCAGGCCATTTAATGTGAAAAGCGGAAAAGTGAGTTTGTGCAACCCAGGAGGGGGGCTTTAGGGGTTGCTTATATAGTAATTTTGAAATTTTGAGATTTGGAATGAATGCCAAGAGTGGGTGGAGGACGAACTAAGGGAGCTGTGTGTGTTGGGTTGTTGTTAGATTAGGTAGTTTTGGTTTTAATATTTTATTTGGGGTTTAAATGCAACTAATCAGTCCTGTTTAAATTAGGTATATGCCTAAGGGTTTGAATTTTTCTAATTTATTTTGTGGATTTAGGATTGATTCTAGTGTAAGTGCGGTAAAAGAACAGTTCAATTTATACCTATTTCTTAACCAACATGCATTTATCTTTTAATCCAATAATAATTGTAATCTTAATTGGGAAATAAAACATCGCGAGTTGACATGAGTAAAAACATGTCACTTCCTGGTTACTTTAAAAAGTGCTAATCAAAGCTGGATTAACGAAATCAAAGCCGCGTGACACTACTGACACTACCCAAGCTGTGAATTAACAAGCTTGAGGCGAGAGTGACACTTTGTTTTTCCGTCAAGCAAACATTTTCATTTCTGAAACAGTAAATACTCGTTCAGAAAATACACACAGCAGATCAACTTGAATGGTTGATAAAATGATTTAAAATCATGGAACTAAATCATTTGAGATATAAATTATATCATATTTTCGTAGCCATGTTTTTATTTCCTAGTTATCTGCCTTAACATCGAGGGTCTATTCGTTTACTCCAACCAAATATTCGTTGTAATCGATTTGGCAGATACACGTTTCGTTTCTTTAGGTCGTTTTGATTTTTGAAAATGAGTCAATATGTTTTTCAAAATGAGTGACAGCGTTGTCCTGTTAGAATGGCTCGACCACCAGTTATCGTAGAGAGCCTTCAATGCAGATGGAATCATCTGGCAGCGGTGATTGGGTGATTCTGTGTAAGATTGTTTATGTTTTTTAAACGTACCTCCATCCAGTGAGAAAAAATGACCATGTTTTCTATATTAAGTGCTGTTTTCTAACATGATCACTTATGCTGAATGTGACCACAGATATTTTCAAGCAAGTGGCATTTACTGCGAGGGAGATGTGTTTCGCTTCCTGTACTCGGAAAAGGAACTGACTGGGCTAGTTATTTGTTTTTCTATTAGAATATTACTGCTTTTAGGCCAGAATGTGCACACATGCACGTGTAAGGGCCGTTGAATGCTTATTATTATTTATTTTTTTAAACATAACGTTAATAAAAAGGTCTTTGGGAAAACGTTTGGTTTTGTGTAACCAAAAGCGTGCGTGTTGTCGATGCAAGGGAAATAACTCTTTTAACATTTTGTCCGCTAATGTATTGGGATCTCCCAGCATTGGTTCAAATCAGATGCTCATTGTAGTGTTCCTTTTACAAAAAAAAAATTCTTAAAAAAATATAGACAGTATCTTTCACAGAAAATGGCTTTTTCATCTTGTCAACTCAAGCAATTCTGTGTAAAACGTAAAAACGACAATGTGTCGCGATTTAGAATGATTTGTTGTTAGTGCCGGGCGGATTGTCTTGAAACTAGGCTGGCGATAAATTGAACTTTGCGAAATCGTGTCACTACCCCCCTGGCACGTGGATTTCTTGCAATTTCATCACAACAGAGTGTCCCATATTAATACAGATAATAAAAATCAAACGTGACAACACCTTAAATTAACTGACGAGGTGGCCGAGTGGTTAAGGCGATGGACTGCTAATCCATTGGGGTCTCCCCGCGTGGGTTCGAATCCCATCCTCGTCGACAAGTTCATTTTGCAAATACATTTCATTTACCATTTTTCACGAGACACAGACGATTTTGTACATTGATGGTCATCAAACGGTATTGATGATGGCAGCCCATTTTTCTTCTTTGCTAATTAGTCTCCTAGGATGAAAAGATACATCCTCCATGGCTGTACCTGTACATAGAATCTGTGAGTGAAAGTGAGCCAGGTGCGTGATTAACCAGGTTCTTTCCTTCAAACCTGTCAAGTTGAAAACGTGTGACTGCCGTCTGGGCACGAGGGTATTGAACACTTACACCTTGGTCGATTGGCCGTACTCATAAAGACCAGACGTTGCATTTCGCAATATCAGCTGACGAGGTGGCCGAGTGGTTAAGGCGATGGACTGCTAAT